AAAAAGGTTGGGGATCACTGATCTAGGTCATGGTTGTTCCAAAGATGCTTTTTCAAGAGACAACTGGACTTCCTTGGTTTTTCTTCTTGGATGAGAAGTGAAATATCTTCAAAGAAAAAAACAAGGACGTCCAGTTGCCTCCTGAAAAAGCACTTTCGGGATTTAAAAGAAGTAATACAAGAGCCGCGGTAGCGCAATGGTTAGAGTGCAGTACTGCGGGCTACTTCTGCTGACTACTGGCTGACTGCAATTTGGCAGTTCAAATCTCACCCGGCTCAAGGTTGACTCATCCTTCCATCCTTCCAAGGTGAGTAAAATGAGGACCCAGATTGTTGGGGGCCATAGGCTGGCTCTGTACACCGCTTAGAGAGGGCTGGAAAGCACTGTGAAGCAGTATATCAGTCTAAGTGCTATTGCTAATAATCATTCCTCTGATCTCACTAAATGATCACCATGGCTAGGTTCCGTTGGATTTTGCCAATATAAATTAGAAAAGCAGCATTCGTAAAGTCATTTTTTTAAAAAAAACTAAAAATCACCTTAATGGCTATAAAGTTTTTCTTACAACACTTGGCATTTCCTTGTTTTGTTTTCTTACCAAGGGATCCTCTTTTCAATAAATACCTTTGTGCATAAAGAATGAAGCTGGACTTTAATACACGACATATGAGTAGGTCTGTTTCCGTTTCTGGACAAAGAGTGTTTGAACAATTACCGCACAGCTGTTCGAAGTAAAAGCACCTCTTGTTTCATCTTTGCAGCATCAACTATAAAGAACAGCTTTTTGGTCTGGGGCCCTCCCGAGGCAATTGTTATTTGTGTTTTACTAGAAATGGGAATCCTGAATGTTTTCTGTGGCTGTTTCATATGAAACAGAACCCACAAATATTATTGATCCTTTGAGATGCTGCTGGATTGCAACACGAATCTCTGAAGGCAAATGAGCTTTTTAACTGTACAACCTCTGTACAGTTTGACGGTGTTCCCTGGCATGACCTGCTCTGTCTTGGGATTATAGAGACATCTGGAAGAAACCAACTTTATGACATGCTAGGGATAGTTTTTAGGAAAGAAAGATAAATCTTACCATCCCATGTAAACTAAGGATGGCGGATAAGATGAGTTTCTTCATTACACATAGTCCTTGCTTAACAATTGCCTCAGACTGCAGCTGTTCAGGGTTACAACAATAATGGAGAAGTAACTTTGTGACCGATGGCCGGTTGCAACCTTTGCAGCAATGAGGATGATTGATGATATTCGTTAAGTTGTGTCCGATGCTTGGCCAATCTCTCAGGCATATGTTCCCCATGGCATTCAGTTAGTAGGTATTGCCCTGTGCCTAACCCCTTTTTTTTCTCTCCCCTTCTCCAGCAGAATAGAGAGATTGCCTAAACAAGCTAACTCCTCCTGAGGTGCTTTTCTCTGTAGTGCATCCCTAAACAGTGCTAAGCGCAAGTTAACAAAACTCAGCTCTGGGACTTTAATTAGATGATTAGAATGCGCTGCCAGCTCTTAGCTAAAATAGATTAAAATTGAAAAACACCTTAATCAGTTTAGGCAGTTAGTCTAGGGCAGGGCTGTCAAAATGGCGGCCAGTAGGCCAGATGTGTGTGTAGTTGTCGGCCAGTTTAGTGAAGCGGGGGGGAGTCCGGATACGCCACATGATGCTGCCTTGATGATGTGAGCTTGACACCCCTAGTCTAGGGCATTTCCTTCTATGTCTATTCTCCATGGAGTGTGTGCTTACTCTCCTGCAATCCCTTTCTCTCCAATGAATGTAAATACACTACCGGGATGAACATTCCAAAGGGAGGAAAGTTGGGAAAGGCCTGTAAGGTTTCCCTTTTACTTGAATTCCTCATGAGTTGAAATCCTCAAACCTTCCCTGCTATTTGGACTCACCCAATTGTTTAGGTTTGCATCTTCTGAGCTGTAAAAGCAACGGAAAGCTAAAGTAAAATCCTAGGTACAGTTGTGATAATATGATTTTTCACTTCTGCAACCATTTAATGACTGAGGTGTTGGTCCCAATTGCAGTCACTAAACAAGGACTACCTGTACAGGGATTGCTGCTAAACATTGAATCACGCCTTTACTGATCTTACCAACACTGTACATTGTGTCACCAAGCCAAAAACAATACAGGCTAAAATAATAATTTCATCATTTGAAAGCAATTGACAGAATGCAGACAATAATAGGGGGGGAAAAACACTTAATCACAGCAATTAAACCGAAAGGGAGCAGCTATTTATAACCAGCTTTCAGATAAAGAGACCACATCTCTCACCACCTGCCCTCATAATCTTACATGCTGGCATTTAGATAACAAAGGCAATTGTGTGACCCTAAACATTACTACATTTTGTTATATGTGTGCAAAGCTCTGTCCTGCTAAGACCTCTATGCAGTCTTGAAATCGTAGTCTTTTTGGTCTATAAGCATAATGAATTAGATATTCTATTCTTATTTCATACATTTTACAATCTCTGACATTTATCACAGTTGAATATTCTCAAATTGCAATAGAAAGAAGTATTTTTTTATTATTATTAGAATTTGTTAATATATGCTTACTAGCTCGATACCCATGCTTCGCTCTGAAACTATGTGGTCGGGCTTAGTTTTTTGGGAGGAAAATAAGGGGGAAAAAATCTGCCTCTGCCTACCATCATCCATCGGTATTCATCTGGCTAGCATCCTGTCAATGTGGGAGGCTGTTTGGAAACTGAAACTGTATTTGCTGAAACTGTATTTGCACCTAGAAGCCAAGAGGAACATACTAAATTTCTAGTTTATAGGCTTTACAATTCTGGAGATTTTGTGATGATGCATGAGTGATATTTTGCTTTTATATATGTAGATTTATTATTATTTATCCAGACCTTTTTAAACTTAAAATCATCAGATCTTAATGTACTATTCTTTGCAGAGTAACTTTGTTGTAGACTTAGAATACATGCAAATAAAAGGATCTATAAATATACTCATATTTATATAAATATAAATTCTTTGTATTAAATTGTTTTCTTGATTTTTATAGCATGTAGTACTGTATATGTTTTCCTCTAAGCTGCTTAGAGTTGTCTGAGAAATTACAACAGAGAAGTACCTTAAATAATTAACAGCGCAATCTTATTCCCAGACCATGGAGTTCAGCTACAGTTACTGTCAGATTAATGGATATAAGACTGCTCTTAAATATCTATTAGGTCCAACAATTCGTGCTCTCGCATTCCTTGTATAAGATGGTTGTTCGTGTGACTCAATTCACGCTAGAGCTTTGCCCTCAACCAAACCAACTCCATCAATTTGAGGATGGATATTTTATGGTTTGCTGAAGGAGGAATGATTTGGAGCTGTTTACCATGATTTGGACAAGTATTGGAGACCACTACTATATTTCTTAAAGTTGTTAAGCAAACTGCATTTCTTAAATTCATATCACTTTGTTTATTAACTATGTTCTGTGCAAAACAGGATGGTGATAATTTAGCATTTTACACCAGCTTTGCAGGTAGGGTATTCGAATATCAGAATAAAACAGTACCATAATATTGTGATTGGTATGAAAATTGCATATTTAAATATCGAACAATGAAATAATGAAGGATAGTATTCAGTGGTGGGATTCGAATTTTTTTACTCCCGGTTCTGTGGGCGTGGCTTGGTGGGCGTGGCAGGGGAAAGGATACTGTAAAATCTCCAGTCAGAGGTAGGATTTGCCGGTTCTCCGAACTACTCAAAATTTCCGCTACCGGTTCTCCAGAACTGGTCAGAACCTGCTGAATACCACCTCTGGGGGTATTGTAATGCAAAGGGAACATATTTTAATATAATGATCACATGAATAAAATTTGGAATACAGAGAGAAATAAGACAAGACAAAGGGGGAATATTAGTATATACATTTTTATAAGATAAGATAAGTGCAATGACAAGAGAGCGGTTTAGAAATTGAACAGCGGTAGTATTATGTATGTTTAAACAATATGAAATAATGAAAGATTATAATTTGGTATATGATTTATGATATTATTTTATTTGTACTGAAATGTATGGCACCCAGGTGTCACACTGTTCACACATTGATATGTTTATGTAATATAAAATTTTAAAAACTTGATTTAAAAAAAGAATAAAACCGCACCTTCAATAAGCCTTTTTTCACTTGTGTTTTTCAGAAGTAACACCTCACCCCAAGACATGGGAGCTATCATTAGACTGGGCAATGGATTTCTAGAAGCAAGTGCCATGCCATTATCGTGTCAAACTTTTAAGATCTGAAAAATAACATGCTGCCTCTCTCAGACCGAGTGAAGCAAGTGGCAAGAAGACAATTGGTTCATTCTGTTGATTAGAAGAGCTTCAGGAACAATGCCTTCAAAAGTCTCGTGTTTATATGTCTTGACAGTTGTATGTTGGGCAAGTGCTTTGTGGTACTTAAGCATAACACGTCCCACTTCCTCCTACACCTCATCTTACACCGTTCATAAAACTTATGACAGCATCTCAATGGCTCGAAAAAATGTTTCCTTTGGGAACATAAGGACTCGACCCATAAACCCTCATTCATTTGATTTTCTCATCAATGAGCCAGAGAAGTGTGAGAAGAACGCTCCCTTTCTGGTTATTCTAATCAGCACCACACACAAAGAGTTTGATGCTCGACAAGCTATCCGGGAGACCTGGGGTGATGAGAACAACTTCAAAGGCATTAAGATTTCCACACTTTTTCTTCTGGGGAAAAACACAGACTCTGTGTTAAACCAGATGGTTGAGCAAGAAAGTCAAATTTTTCACGACATCATTGTGGAAGACTTCATTGACTCGTATCATAACCTGACCCTGAAAACATTAATGGGAATGAAGTGGGTGGCCACATTTTGTTCAAAAGCCAAGTATATCATGAAAACAGACAGCGACATCTTTGTAAATATGGACAACCTCATTTACAAGTTGCTCAAACCGAACACCAAACCAAGACGAAGGTACTTTACTGGCTATGTCATCAATGGAGGACCCATCAGGGATGTCCGGAGCAAATGGTACATGCCAAGGGACTTGTATCCTGACAGCAACTATCCGCCATTTTGCTCAGGCACAGGCTATATTTTTTCTGCTGACGTAGCAGAAATGATTTACAAGACTTCCCTCCATACTAGACTCCTTCATCTTGAGGATGTGTATGTGGGACTCTGTCTGCGGAAGCTTGGCATCCATCCTTTCCAAAACAGTGGCTTCAATCACTGGAAGATGGCCTACAGCCTGTGCAGATATCGGCGTGTTATTACGGTACATCAGATATCCCCTGAGGAAATGCACAGGATTTGGAATGATATGTCCAGCAAGAAGCATCTCAGATGTTAGGACTTTTTGAGGTGTAAATACTTTGGTTCTTGTTATATGAATAGAGAGCAAACAGACAATGGGGTGTTCACTTCTATGAGGAAAGAAATCTTAATAATATTTTGGTTAGCTGGTCTCTCCAGCTATAACTTCTGGTTTACAAACTGCAGGTCCTAACATAATGGTATTGTTCACATCAGTCCAAACAAACAAGAGGCATTTGTCTTGTCCAGTCTATCAAGTGTATGCATAAGAAGATGACTGTAACAAGCATAACATAAAAATTCATTCCCATTAAAAAGTCAGAGAGGAACCCTTCTCTAAGGCAATGGTGGGTCATTGGTTATGAGGAAAATTCATCCTCACTGAAATTAATTTTAAAAATGCAAACTGAAATGGTGCCATGAAAGGCCTCTATTCCAAATTAGATGCCACTTTATCATCAAAGTCTAGCTGTCAGTATAAAGTTCTTGCTATGACAGGATTAGGAATGCATCGTGTGTAGATTTTTATCCATGCATCACCCCTTCCAATGACCCAACTGTTTTCCTCTAAATTCAGATATGAGGAGCAGTTGAAGTCATAAATGGACCATAGCTAAAAGTAATTTGTTTTAAAAGTTACTATTTTATATATAGAAACATTTCAGTACTTGAACATTTCAGTACTTGGGTCCCTATTTCCTCATTTAAAAAACCTTACGCCCACTTAGCAAAAGTAGGCCCTATTGAAATCAACTGGATCTCCTTTGATTAACTATAAACAGTATGGACAAACCAACAACCACTGGAACAGTGCCAGAGACCCAAAGAGAGGTCTAATTTTCTCCCAGTACGTTGGGAGAAAGATTAACTTCAGAATAAGGAAACCTGAGGTTGGATCATTCCTACTATCATTGTAAATAACATCCAAGACCAGCTGATCTGGCGTCAAAACTCTTGGAAATCTTAGACAAGTTTTTGAAAGGAGTTTAAAAGGAGTTGGTCCATGGAGTGCAGCAAGGGAATAGAACCTGTATCTTTTACCACTATTCCATCCTGTGGAAGAGGAAATTTAAAAATATGTTGATACAAACATCTCTCTCCCTCCCTCTCTCTCTCTCCTATTGTTTTTCAAAGCATGGAGATCACATACCTTTCACAGTTGGGTAGGCTACCATTCCAGATTAGGTTGCTCTGTCCCCAGTTTAAAATATTCTCCAGAATGTTAGTAGTATATAATTTTCTTCATTGTAACAACCTTGCCAAATGCAAGATCTACTCCTTGCCATCTATAAACTAAGGTGTCAAAAGGTATTGGTAATAATGTCAATTTAGTGATGAAGAGATGTTTGAAAACTCACATACGTTTAAATGGGGAAATTGCTAAATGCTGTCATTACTTCCCTTTTAACAATTGAAGTACTTGCTTTTAATGTTGTTTACAAATTGAAAATCAACGGTGGCACTTTATTTGCAGGAATAGTGTTTAAAAATCAGTAGAAATGCTGCATAGCTAAGGAAGGAGTTAACATGACTGTGATGTAATCTAATGCTAATAAACAATATGTATAATTATGGATTGGAAGATAAGAAAAATCACAGCCAAAATTCTGAATGAAACACTGTTAAAAACTAAATAGTTTATTGCAACCTCTATGGAGATTGTCCCAAAGGTGCTTTTTCAAGAGGCAACTGGACTTTCTGGTTTTTCTTTGAAGATGTTTTACTTCTCATCCAAGAAGCTTCCTTCAGATCTGACTGGATGGATCCGAAAGTCCAGTTATCTCTTGAAAAAAGTATCTTTAGAACAGTTTATTGCAACCCTTTGCTTTTTAAGAAGCTCATGTGTATTTATATGGAATTATAGATCTGTATGCTGTAAAGAAGAGTGGGGGGGGGACTAAAGGGGCCATGAGTTAAATAAGAATTTATTTATTTCTCATTTGTGCTCTTCCAAATGGCTTTATCAATAGTAACATTTGAAATCGACAACCATCACAATTTGACAGATAGGCTGGTATTTTATTCATTTAAAGTACAAATACCCATTTGACATTGTGGACGCTGGTAATGCATAGTATTTTAAAAGCCAAAAGATACCATGTTTATGGAATCCAAGTTCAGTTTGGAGATTGACTTATTCTCCAAAGCACCAGAGGGACAGGACAAGAAATAATGGGTGGTAGGAGCTTGTTACAGAGTAATCCAACCTAGAAGTAAGGAGAAATGTTCTGACAATGAGAGAAATAACTCATTGGAATAGTTTGCCTCCTGGGGTTGCAGGTTCCACCATTGGAGGTTTTAAAAAATAGAGTGGACAACCATTTGACCAGGCGGGATTGTACAAGGCTTCTGTCTTGAGCAGGGTTTGGACTAGAAGATCTCTGAGGTCTCCCTTCCAACCCTGTGATTCTATGTTGTATGTTCAATGGACCATTTTCTAAAAGGTACGTGTTTAAAGATCCTATTGATAGAATTTCATCAGCAGTATAGGAGTATGTTACATTTCCTCTCTTCACACATTTAGTTGAGAGTTAAGGAACATTCTGTGAAAAAAATGTGGTATGGGAATGAGGAAAGGAAAAGACCCATAGGGTTATATTATTCCACCAACAGGTAACGTTGGTTGCTGACTTAAGATTCATTATTTTTCAGAAGTAGCATCCGAAGCTGGGCAGGTATCTAATAGATGTACATTGTTCAGATCTCCTTTGAACATCTCCTTCTTTGGCCATCCAAATTATTGATGGCAACTCAGACTGTGCCAGTCAACTTGTTTCAAAGGGAAGGAAACAGGACATTATGCAAACTCTTTGTTTCCACTCTACTGTAGTTGCTTCTTTCCCTTCTCATATATCTAATGTGGTGGTTTTTGTTTTTTTTACTAGAATGAATAAGAGGACTAATTCTTGAAATGAGTAGAAAGCTACAGTAACTGAATGCATCCTGAACCAAAGGATGCCATCTTTTAGGCATCCTTCATTGGATCTTTGGACATCTTACTCCACTAGACTGCTAGCGTCGTTTTGAACATGCTTCCAGTATGATTGGATTAAATCATAATTCATGAATACTGGAGATATGTCTAATAACACCTTCATTAATACCTACTAAGTTCCCAATATTTACAGACATCTAGAAATGGTTTAGAGCTCAGCACAAGCTTGGACACTCCCATGTTTTGTTCCAATGTATGCTTAGTTGTCTAGGGTGGGGTGGGCGAAGCCAAGGTAAATGGATAAGGGCATGGGACAGAGGGAGGGAGAGGGAGCTTAGTCAATTGAGGGAAGACAGGAGGCAGAACACCTTTTAGGAAGTGAGGGCTTCATGTCAATATTTAGCATGGCAACTATTCTGTGAAGAGGGAAACCACCCCCTGCTGAAGCAGCCATTTTGTGAGAAAGAACACAGACAGTCTCAGAAATTTACTAACTCAAAAACATTGTCCACCCAGAGTTCTGAATATCTCTTTATTGTGTTCGGTGATTGCAGTGATCAAAGAAGTGTATGAAAACACCCTGCATAGACCATATATGTTATTATTTAATTACTATGGCCATGTGCAGCAACTACATAATTCAGCCAGGAAAACGAGATGGATGTGGCTTGATAGAAACTCCTCTTTAAGCAGGAAGGCAACTGTTTAATCCCTTTTAACTTATCCATAGAGCAAGGTAGTCACTCACTAAATGGTTAATCCATATTGTTAGATAATTTATTTCAGAAACGATCATTAGGCACTGCTTAACATAGTTTTCATATAGTCCTTGCAAAGGAGGTCACTTCTAAGTATTCTAAGTAAACAAATAAATCAAGTCCCAGGCAGTCACCTATCAGAAGGTATATAATACAGCCAAAACCAAGATCTCAAGGGCTTAAAAGTTCTTCAGAATAACAGAGTTGGAAAGACCTTGGAAGTCTTCTAATCCAACTCTCTATTCAGGAAACCCCCTGCTCTGGAAACTTGCTGCCCCGCTGTTCAGGAAACCCTATAACATTTCCGACTAATGGTCGTCCAATCCCTTCTTAAAAATTTCCAATGTTGGAGCATCCACAACTTCTGTGAGGCAAGTTGTTCCACTGATTAATTGTTCTAATATCCAGAAAATTTCCCCTTAGTTCTGGGTTGCTTCTCTCTTTGATTAGTTTCCATCCATTGCTTCTTGTCCTGCCCTCAGGTGCTTTGGAGAATAGTTTGACTGCCTCTTCTTTGTGGCAGCCCCTGAGATATTGCAACACGGTCATCATGTAACCCTGTTATAAAGAAGGATCAACTGCACTTATAGGTGAATAGGCCTAGAAACAGAAGAGCAGAATTCAAGCTGCAAAGAAGCTTTAAATTGCACTTGAGCACGTATTAACATATATTAAAATGTTTAAAGTATTATTTAACTTGTTCTTCTTGACTCAAATAGTTAGCCTATCCAATGTCTCCTGGCTTTTTAAATTGTCTTAAAAGCCACATTCAAAAGGGAACCCAACATTTAATGTGCACCACTATTTAGATAAGAGAACATTAATAATGTAAGCTGAGGTTTTAAAGACACTGTTAACTCTTTCTGTCATGTCAAATCTTGAGTTCTCCAAATGGCTTGTTGATCATTTTCCTCTTGTAGATTATTCTTTTTTCAATATAAAGCAAAAACAAAGTAGCAGTGACACTTTAGAATAAGTTGGTACTTGGAGGGAAAAAATGATCAGTCTTCTTTGTCCATTCTTGTTGGTTATAAAGAAATTGCTGTGACACGTTTGAAGAACATGAGGCTGAGAAAGTCTGATCTACAGATGCTACTTTATTCAAGTCCACTGTATTTCCACGTAACACTTTTCTACCACTGTACTCCATTCTCTCAATAGTCCTACTATCCTATCACTTCATCATGTAAGGGATAAGGATGGATTATGTGTCAACTTCACATCTTACGGAAAGTTCTTGGGCAACATGATGGCATGACACTGACAGGAGAGGCATATGCAGAAATGTGAGGTTGGGCTGGAAATTCACCTCCTGAAAAAGAGGCAAATATCACGTCCTTCCTGCATTTTGCTCATGTCATAACCAATAGCAAATCCCCACAGGACCCAACAGGGCCAAAATGAGACCACCAAAGTGCAAGAGTAAGGATAGGCCCACACATTCAGGGTAGCATTTCATTTTTAAAAAACAACCAAAAAAAAAACTAGTAGGGAATCAAAAAACCACCAAGGATTCAGCGGGTTTACTAGTCACAGGATATTAAATGCATTAAAAGGATAAGCAAAAAGGGGACAATGGAAAGCATCATTTAGAGATAATGTATGGCTGGAACCCTGACCCAAAGCCTAACCCCTGATAGAGCCTTTCCCATGTAGGTTTCTTTGCATGCAGGATCCTAAACCAGGGGTGTCAAACTCACGTCGTCACGGCAGTATCACGTGACGTATCGGGACTTTTTCCCCCTTCGCTAAACTGGGCGTGGGCTTGGCCAGCATGTGTCACATCTGGCCAGCGGGCCAGGAGTTTTGACAGCCCTGCCCTAAATCATAGATTGTCATGCATTAACTGGTTTGTTAGCTTTCCTTAGCGCAAGAGGTAGCTGCTCTCTCAGAGATGTGAGTTCAGCACAGCATTGGGTCACAGTCTGCAGTATTGTGAGATACAATCACTCCAAGCAATTTTAAGACTAACATCTGTAAACCATGGCAACACTGCCTATGGAGCAACACTGCCTATGGAAAACAAACTCCTATAACAACAAACATCAACCAAAGCCCAGAAATATTTACATCCTCTCCAGATGTTCATTAGCACTTAGGATTGTCTCTTTCTATTTTTTTCTGTTCTTG